GGTTCAAATAAAATAAAAATCCAATTAATAGGGCGTTTGTTAGGAAGGGGAAATTTGAGCTTTCTTTACTTTAAAGCGCATATTTACGAATATGACGAATTTATAAAAAAAAAAAAAAAAAAAAAAAAAAAAAAAAAAAAAAAAAAAAAAAAAAAATAAAAAAAATAAAAAAAATTTCAACCAAACGATACAAAAAATGAACCATTTGGTTTGCTTATTTGAACGCAAAAAAACTTGATGCCCTCAGACAATGTCTATTTTCCAAAATGATCGATTAAATATTTCATGAAAAGAACCGAGTGCTGCGATTGTTGTTCATTTCCCAGCTACTCCTGCTTATCATATATATCATGCTTATCAATATATCATAAACCATTGCCCAACAACTTTGATTGTTATTTGCAAGGGGAATTGTTATTAGCATGCGTGAAAAAGAAATTTTCTTCAATCGTAAGAGTCGTTAGAGCTCGCTAGGAGACCTCTGTAAACTGTTAATCGCTCCATCCCCTCTCACCCCTAACGTTATCAACACGTCTGGATATATGTAAAATTCCGTAATATTGTATTTCAATTAATAATAAAACGGTGTAATATGATAAAGCTAAGTACTGGAAAGAGCTCGCAGTCCAGTAGCCTAAAATCTCATCTATTTGCAGGTAATGAAAACGTCGTCGTCGGTAATGCCGATAAAGTAGATCACAGACAGTATGACACACCGAACAATACATCACCGACGAATGCTAATGGCCAATTGAAGAAGACAACTAATGCGCGGAGCCCTTACCATGAGCAACGTTGTTGATGCAGTCGAGGAACTCCTCGCCCCTCTCGTCGTACATGTATTGGCCTTTGGCCTTGACGATCTTCAGTGGATTCGACTTGTAGAAAAGCGTGCACGACTCTCTGTGAACAAAAGCGGTTTATCGGTCAATGTCGAGTGTGCGCGCAAGGACGGCACGGGAGAGCGGGGGAAGGTGAATCACGTGGGAGGGAAAAATCACTCGAGCCCATGTTTCGTGGTTTTCACTGCGGATTTGTCCTTAACGTGTGTGCGTGTGTGTGCGTGTGTAAGGCACGTTGAGAAATTGGTTGGTCGCGTTGGTGAAGTGGAGCGGCGGCAGGGGGGGTAGGGGCGGTGAGTGAAGTTGGAGCGTTGAATGGAGTGACGAAATTATATAAATCAAGGACGTTAAACCGAGGAACTTATGATTCTCGAGTTGATGAAAACATTGATTTCCTACGACAGTACGAAAAATATGATTGACCGAGAGGATTATTCGGTCTGCCACTAACTTGTGCAGAAATATTTAAAGCAACTAATCGGGTTTTTCAATGTTTCGAAAAGCTGAAGTTCCTAATGAAGTAGCAATAAAATGACTCTTGGCTTTTATAAACGATTATTATGGGTTTATAATAAAGTTCGCGTGAGCATCAATATTCCGGGAAACTACATTCGCGAAAACTCCAGCGAGTAATTCACAAAGAGATTAAAAGTTTCGGAACGAATGAAATTAATGGATTAATAAAGCGACGGAAATCCTTTTGGATTCACCGTTCGAGTGTCCCGCATTGTGGCTAAAATTTTGCATCCCTCATGGTCTCTCTACCTTTAATTATACTATCTTTATATATCTATTAGAGACCTCTCGCCTTTAGTTACGCAGTGCAAATTTTAATCGCGGCTCTTTCAAACTACGACATTCTTTCCGCGCGTTCTTTCCACCAAGAATTTCTAACAGTGCCGATGTGAAGTAGCTTCGTAGAACTGTTGTTTTTTCTTGTACTTTTTTGTTTTTGTTTTCTTTTTGTTTTGTCATTCCCTTTATGAATTAATGGTGAAAATTTGCAAATTCATTTCCCAACGAATACGTATCAGTTGACTCGAAGATTCCATTATAGCGAATGAAAAACCATTAATTTTTCAATATTTCCTTACCGTTATTATAAGACAAATGCGGTGATTTTAAAAAGAAATGCAAATTACTATCTACTAAGAGAATAGGAAAATTAATTTCATATAATAATAAAAGCCGATTCATTTCCAGAAAGGCCAAATAAATCATAATTAATCTACGTAATATATTATCTCAAATAACTACTTCGTTCAAAGGCTTTAATGAGTAAAACGTTTATATAAGTAAGAAATAATGCAAGCAATTAATATTAAATTTAAAACATTTAAATTCCAAAAACTCAAACTTCATCGGTTCGTTAGTTATAATGGTTATAAATGCACATAATTAAACAGTGAGTGGAAAAAAGAATTAATTAATCAATTAATTAAAATAAAGAACTTTTGTATATTTTAAACTCTCTTATCAAAATTAATGATTATACCGATTAAAATTTTATACCCATATATATATATATATATATATATATATATATATATATATATATATGGGTATAAAATTTTAATCGACAGCATAAATAAGCATTTCTAATATAAAAATAGTATAATATAATTATATATTATTCAATAATGCAACGTGCGTGTGAAATTTTCAAATAAATATATAGCTAAGAATAAACTTAGAAACTCGACTCTCTGAAATATTAATTTCTTTTAACTGAAATAAGTTTGAATTATAATATATCTGAAGGGAAATAAGAGAAAGAAGAAGTTGAGAGAAATACTTATTTAAAGCATAAATACAGACCCAAGAACAAGAACTTTTATAACAACGTTACTTTATGAATATTAAAATAAATATTTGCAAATTTTATGGAAAGATTAGGCTTCCTTCTTCGCATTATGAAAAACTGTGTGATTTACAAATATAAGAAAATTGTCATAAATTTGTATTAATAAAAAGGAAAGCAGGTAATGTAAGAAATAAAAGCTCTTAGACACGAGAGGATAAAAGTATCTTATATATATATATATATATATATATATATATATATAAAAGTGTTAAAGTCCGACTAAAGTTTTGCCGGACTAATTCTGAATGATAGTGTTGAAATTTCCTCATAACTCGAGGTTCGCCAAATGATTTACAAAATATCTTCACACGCGTGTTAAAGCCGACACGGTGATCGAATAATATTTTCTAGCACGAGAAAGCACGCGAATCCGGTCGAGACGAATATTCAATAAAACGAAAGAGCTCGTAAAATTTCGTAAAATGGTGGCCGAGCTTAATTATGAATTGCCGTCGCTTGAATTTTCGATAATTCGAGCAAGCGTAAGCTAAAACAAGAAAACAACAGAAAAACAAAAATTGTTGATAAACTGTCGTACCAAGTGAGCACCGACCGACCGCAGTGAGCATCGAAAACCGTCGTAAAAGCTTAAAGGAAGATGCTTTGATGCATCGGCTTGAGGTCTCGAGGGGGTAATATCCATTCGTTACTACATCTCACCCATCGAAAGCAATCAAGATGGACACTTTAAGAGGCGAAAATAAATAATGACCTCGTGAAAACGAGCGCCGGCTACGTAATCACTTGACCCGCAACGTCATTCAACGTTTTTGAAAAACTCGTGGTGCGCGCATTGCGTTACGGCCCATCGTAATCCTGGAATTACATCTTCCAGGGTCGTGTGCAAAGGTGTCCCTCGTTGTGAAGGAACAATAGTTCAAGGGGGTGGAGGTGGGGGTGGGGGGGCGTGAGGCGTGATAAGGCTCGTCTCGATAAGCTATCAGCCGCGAGTTGGTAAGCGTGGGAGGCTCGAGTAGCCAAGTGATTGGAATTATCGGGCTGCGCTTGGCATCGCCGGCGAATAATCGCACGGGTCGAGGATAAATTTCGAGTTGCGTTTTCGCTCGATGACTTTGCGCTTCGCAACGTTCATCATTCTTATCTTCGTGACGGATTTATTTTTTTTTTTTATTTATTTATTTTATTTTTTTTTTTATTTTATTTTATTTTTTTTTTTTTATTTTTTTTTTTTTTTGAACTTTTGCTAGGAGAATTTTTGGGGACACCCTGTCGCTTCTCCTCGTCCTCCTCGTCATTTTATTTCCTATCCATCGCGCATTATTAATAATACACGATAGGATTAGCCGAGATTTGATAATCCATGTGTATTTGGAGAGAGTGAAATTTATATTTATAGCGATAAATCTAATATTATAGAATTTTATCTCTTCAAGCATTTGAATAACTGAGCGATACTGATAAGAGAATTTTTATTGTAGCGAGAATGTGTTGCAATGGCTCGTGGATATTTAAGAAATTAAGAAATTCCGTTACAATTTTGGCAGTATACTATATTTATATTGTTCCGTTCCTTTATTTATTTGTAATAATTATTTTTGTTTCTATCGGTATTTTTTGTTATGTTGTTTTTCAAATCTTTTACAAAAATTGCTGCTTAATCATGGAAATATCGATAGAATATTTTGCAAGCAGTTTTGTCCGAACTTTTGACAGTTTATTGAGCTGGAAAGTTGCAGTACTTCCAATTTGTTATTTGTCGATGATTTCTTACTTATAAATATTACATTCGCACATACAGTAGGTAGATTGACGTATTCCTCATACTATTTTCACAATAGACATAATGAACATTAATAATAGGAAATAAAATTTGTTTAATATGAAATCAGTGAATTACTTGAATGCGTGTCTTATAAAATGCATTGCCTACCTAATTAATTGTAAATACGTGATAATTGGCTGCATTGTACAAATGTACAAACGTGACAGATGTAAAAAAAAACAAATTAAAAAAAAAAACAGAGAAAAAAGTAGACAAAAAAAAAGAAGAAGTAAATGGCAATAATTGGTAAATTACGTGATTTATTAGCTACGTAATTGCAAGATTTTAATTTGAGAGATTATAGTGTAAATGTAACGATGATTAGATTAAAAAAAGTAAAGAAGAGAACTTACCCGATGTATCGCTCTCGCAATTTCAGTGTTTCGTGTTTAGGCATATGCTCCAATGATTCGGCCATCATTCTGCGATGCTTCTGAAAGTTTCTGAAACATTTTATAAAAAGTCATACGTCAATTACGCACTCGTCGTACTGTTGTAAAGAATAATCATCACAAGTGCAATAAGCAACATGAGAAACGTACGAAACGTATAAATGGAAAACAAGAATTTTTTATTATTAACAAGCTAACGAGATCGAATGCACTAGTGTACGTGCAACTATTACAAGCAATTGCTCATCACATTTCAATATAAATAAATTTATTGAAACTTGCAACTTATGACTAAGGTTGCTCCAATACACGCCTATCCAATAAGTTCATACTTTATCATTAATAATAAAAAGTGATGACGTTGCATAAAAGAATTTGCCTTGATGGTAAATTTCTGAGCGCTTTGTAAGACATTTATTTTTCTCAAATTTATCAGTGTTATTCAAGATCCACATTGGTAATATACAATGGCGACGTATGGCTGTTGAAAATTTTCTCGAAACTATTGTTTGAAAATATCTAATGGACATACTTGTAGGCGTTACGAGGGCAACAAACGCACGCCACTCACTCCCCCGTGTAATAAAATTAAAACATAATTATTATAAACAATAGGCAGATTATTGAAACGGAGAAATTACAAATTTCAATGCTGCAATTCAAATAAACGAGCAAAATTCATATTCACGTGTATATGAAATCTTACACTGACGTAATAAGTATGTATGGAAACCTCGTGTTTGACGTGCATAAAAAGGATTTTATGTTATGTTTATTACGTCCGAAATAACATCGATAAAGGGACATTGATAGGCAATGCCCATCCACCCCACGCCCAATCGGAACGAACAAGAGAATGTCGGGAAAGTAGACCAGCGGCTAACTAAGCAGCGAGGCTGCGCCTGTATACCGATTTCCCCAAATCCGCGATCGAGGCACACACACTGAAGGACGTTAAGTCCTTGCACGAAACAAAATCGCTACAAAAGAATATGAAGAGCGCGAGGGAGATATATATATATATATATATATATATATATATAGAGAGAGAGAGAGAGAGAGAGAGAGAGAGACAGACAGACAGACAGACAGAGAGAGAGAGACAGAGGCTACGGCAGAATTTTGCATACGCCAACTCGTTATCGACCTCCCGCCTTTCACCACTCCACCCTCACCGAGCGACTTTTAACGCCTAACGAAATTGTACTGGATTTTTTGTTTCTCTCTCTCTCTCTCTCTCTCTCTCTCATCCTTTTCTATTGGTTTCTTCTTTTGTTTTTGTTTAATATAGTGTCCCGTGAATAGACGCCCTCTAAGAATGGCCGTACGCCCTTTACTCAGGGGGTGCCGTTCGTTCTCACTTGACACGGCACAATTCGTGTTTCTCGAGGGCATTTTTGCAAATGGCAAAAGTAAAAAATACGGCGTGTGAAAGCGTTAAGGATGAGGAGCGCAAAGTACGTTTGTAAGTAAGTGAGTTGGCAATGCCTTTGGCCGGTTCTGATGGGAGGGTGAAAGAGTACGGGGCACCGGGATAAAAAGAGCGAGAGAGAGAGAGAGAGAGAGAGAGCGAAAGAGAGAGAGAGAGAGAGAGAGAGAAATAAAACGATGGAATAGTGATTAAGTACCTTGACGTAAATCCGAGACAGTTGACAGTGAAGCCGCGTGGTTAAAGTAGTTGCGGAAATGATACGAGGGACCAGGGAAGGGCCGGAAGTAGAGCGAGATGATACCTGAAGGAGAGCGAGAGTGGCGCACTCGGAAGTGTATCCTCGTGGTTAGTAGCCGGCGGGTATCTGTGCCGAGGAGTCGCCGTGGAGCTCGGCCCGTCGTCAGCTGTGTGTGTGTGTCGCGACCTACTCCGGGGTGACGTCATATATAAAGCCTCCGTAAGTTGTTGGTGCGAACCCCCGGGACAAAAAAGAGCGGGGAAGTGCGCGCGCAGCCTGTTTTCCGATATCACAGCGCCTCACTCTCCCTCTCTCTCTCTCTCTCTCTCTCTCTCTGCTCGTGTCGCTACATCGGCTCCTCGGTCTCTCTTCTCCCACCACCCCCCGACGTCAAAACCAAACGCCAAGTACCGTCCACTCGCGATCCAATTGCATGGCAATTAGTTCATCCGACCTCCGTGCCAGCGACTTTACAATCTCCCTTCCTTTCATTCCTGGAAAGCCAATGAAAACATCGCGGGCGGCACTCTTTAAATATTGAGCGCGCCGGCGACAATTCTATCGGCCATTTATCTTTATTTTTACTTCAACCCGCGTCCATGTTTACATAGGACTGCGTAATATTTGCCCGTGCTCAGCTCGAGGTACGAAGTTTGAAGTAAACGGCCATTATCGCCCGCCACTTCACACGAGCCGACATAACAATTGAAGATGCAGCGATTCTCGATTTTCCGAGCATGCGATGCTTTCCGAGCCGATATTTGAAGGACGCCAGATTAGATGGATGATAGGCGCTCTTCGGAGCAAAAGTCTATGTCGTCGACGGGAATAGGGAAATTCTCCTTGGGATCTGCATTTAGTTTGGAGCACACCGAATGCAATTTCTATTAATAATTCGCGATATTGCGAGCAATGTCATCTCCTCGTACATCCCTTTTCATTCACAAATAATCGTTCGACAAAAGCTCCTAGCTTAGTATTTTACGTCAAATGTGCTCCATTTGCAAAATACGGCCTAAGCGATTAGGGTCAAAAACAAGTGGCACGATAATAATAATAATAATAATAATAATAATAATAATAATAATAATAATAATAATAATAATAACGCCAATCGTTTATCCTATCGCGTACGACAGAAAATAAATAAATAAATAAATTATTAAATATAGAATTAAAAATTACCGACAGACACTGGGCTAAAATATGATACATTAATAATTCACTCCAAGTGGCAAATGGCATAGATAAATTAAAAACTAAACAAAATTAAATTCGTCTTTTCTCCTTACGAACAAAACAAGTACTCGGTATTATAATAATTATAACGAGCATAATATTGTAATACAATTATGTTAAAAATCTAACATAGTTTCTTTATCGGGAAAATATCGCTATATAAGAATGAAGCTTTGAAATTTCTTGATGATTGTAAAATTTTCCACTATATTGCGGACTTACTTATAATTTTCTCTCCTCCACTTTTCATTTTCAAAGAGTTCAATTGCTCGAAATTACTTTCCTTCCTTACATTTTACTATCTTCTATTCGATAGCCCATTCAATTTGCAATTAATACTATTTCAATTTTACTGAATAATTTTACTCGACGATTGCACTCTTTAAGTCTTTAACATATTTTTATAGATTCACTAAACTAAGATGCAAATATAGTTTATTTACATTGTGGATAATAATATCAAATAAAATAGTTATGAACTTTGTTATTGTCAAGGAAATGTATGAGAAAACTTAACTATAAAGGAGAAAACCTATTTTTTTTTTTAATAATTTAAAATTTTTTCATTTCACTTATCATTTATTCGTAATATTGCAAAATTTCGACAATTATTGCATTAAGGAATCAAAACATCCATCCCTTTGATTAATAAATAATGAACAAATAGGGATTGTCGATCGATCAATGAAATGGTGCCGTTTTATTATATAACTCAAAATAATTTAGTTTAGTATTGTTATTAATATAGTTATATATGATTGAAAGTCAACACAAACACAATAGTATATTTACTGCAATAGAAGATAATTTCTATTTATATTGAAATTCAAAGGAAGATAATTAATGTTTTTCTTTTGAATTTTTCACAAATTCTTTCCGCTACACAAGCGACGCTTATTTTTAATTCTATTTCTCTACAACTAACAACACATACACAATAATGATTCAAAAGTACAAAATTCTTGCGATTTGACTTTATTGCCACAAAGCTCAATATTACTTAATTTATAAAATAGTAATAATATAATCATATATATATATATATATATATATATATGTAATATAATTTAATAAACAACGATAATATTGTGCTTGAGGAAGAAATATTTTCACCACGAGAAGTTCTTAAGTCATAAAAATAAATTCTAGATACCTGCGCCCATCGCAACATTATGCATTTATTTTATTTTAACAATAATAAATAGCAGAGATCAGCATAAAGTATAAATATAATGCACCACGCATAATAAATTTAATGTATCTCCATTTACATGTCCAAATATTATAATTTAAATGATCTATCGATCTAGTTAAGTATTTTGTTCATTCGTATAAGCACGCGTGACTATACACACTAACGCACACACGTAAATCAATGCATGCATTTACATCGTTTAACCTTGGCATCAGAATACCTATGTGTATGGCCTCTGTGTGTGTTTGTGTGGCCTCTGTGTGTGTTTGTGTGTTTGTGTGTTTGTGTGTGTAAATATATGTGCATGTGTGTGCGTACAATAGTTGCTGTGTGTGTGCGTGCGTGTGCGTGCGTGTGCGTGTATGTGCGCTTGCGTGCGTGCAATAGTTCCTGTGTGCGCGTGTGTGCGCGCGTACGCGTGTGCACTTACCAAGTGCGCATATGAGCATCTTATTAGCTATTATGAGAAATTAAAATTATAATTAAATTTAAAATTATATTTTAAATCATTGCATAAATTTTGAAAAACTTTTAGAAACTCTTTAAGTCGAATAAAAATTCTTGCACCATAATTTCGATTCGATTGATCATTCTCATGTATATGACCAATTATATGGAATTATATTTAACTTTAACGGTAGTAAGAAGATAATTTTTCGATTAATTCGTGATAAAAATAAAAAAATGTGGAAACAATATATACAAATTATCGGGTCAATGTATTAAACTACAGTTTACTGCAATAAAAATGATGCCACATAAAGGTAAAAAATGTTTGAAAAACGAATTACCAATATTAAATGGAAATAAAAATAATATCTTGTTATCCTTACTTCTTGTATAAATTAAACTTTTTACATTACCATAGCTGAATGCCAGAGTCCTGGATTATACGATAAGAAGTGTGTGCGCGTGCGTGCGTGCATGCGTGCGTGCGTGTGTGCGTGTGCGTGCGTGCGTGCGTGTGCGTGCGTGCGTGTGTGCGTGTGCGTGCGTGTGTGTATGTGTGTACGCGCACGCGTGAGGCTGTAGTGGCAATCAAGTTAAAAATCGTTAATTTAAAAAATGTGCATATTTTGTTATGTGTGCTTTGCTAAGTTACAATATGCCAGACAATATATTAAAAATTAACAGAATTGATAATTATCGTTTACAGAATTTGTTATTTGAAATATTGCCGTATTCTAGGAATAACTTTTTAAAAATTCAAATTTCCAATATATCTAAAATGCAGCCTCGTAAAGCCTTTTGATAATTCAATAATGTATTTATCAATAATGTACTTATAATCGTAGCATTAAAAATACATTCTTCGAGATCAATGAAAAGTGATGAAACAAATTTAAAAAATCTGTATTTCAGGATTGAATTTGATAATTCAAAAGGACGAAACGATATTATAGACGCTGTCCATAATTTTTCCTTATTATCTGAATATATTATCTACCGATAAATTCAGAGATTATAAATACATTCTCTTACTAAATACCAATAAATGATAGATTAATTATATAAACAACTAGCAATATTTAGCATATTAGCATCTAGCATCTTACATATGATTATTATATAATATTTTTTTCAGTCTTGGCACTACTATCGTGCACAATGCACACGTGCACTATTGCTTAGCAACACCTAGGAATTGGAATTTTCAGACACGTCAATGCATGGAGAAGACATATCCTTCGTTAATTCTAAAAATGCGAGGGAAGCGATTATTTTATCGGTAAAAAAAGAAAATAATAATAACTCATTACGTAAACGGCCTAACATTTATATAATTTTCATTAAAACCAAAAGATAAAGAAGAGGAGGAAGACGAAGAAGAGAAAATTCGCAAATAATATGCTCACAAATGCACGATTCTTGATTACCGCGGGAATACTATCGCGAAAGAAAGAAAGAAAGAGAGAAAAAAGAGCACCAAAAGCTTGGCTCGCGACTCGCGTTGCGAAAAGCATTGTCGGCGCACATAATTAATAAGCGTCGATGCGGAGATGCCGTGCACAACGTCGACACGATAATAATCAAAGCCACTCCGCTGGCTGCGTTAATCAAGTGAAATAAGGAAAAACGGCTTATCAGGCTGCGGAAAAAGAAGGTTCAAACGTCGTGGAATTGGACAGGGCCGCGTCGCGGTACGAATGCGCCGCACGTGTTCCCTCGCTCTCGGCTCTCTTGTTTCACTTAGGCGCAGCACGTGCCAGAAAGCCGTTATCGCCCTCGACTTTTATCGTTTCCGACTTGCGTAAGCAGCGCGGTAACGCTCGCTTCTTGCTTCTTCGATCCCTCCGCAACCCTCCAATCCCGCGCCCCGCAATATCAATCGGCGCCGCATCCATCTCGCGCAGACTCCGACGTTAGTAGCTAAGACGCTCTCGAGGATCGGAGGGGAGGGGGAGGGCGAGGAGGAGGAGGAGGAGAGGAGGAGGCTTTGGATAGGGATGCTTTAGTCGATCGTCCTTGCTTTTTCCCAAGGAATTTCGCGATTTCTCGGTAGGTAAGGAACAACCCAGCGGTCGACTTTTCTTTCGATGTCCGTTGATTTTCGCACGGGACCTCTCGCTTCCCCGTATTTCTAGAGGCCGATTTCGCAACGTTTTTTCGCCGATTTAATTAATAAAGCGATATTAAAAAGTGGCTCTTACATTATTAAACGAAATCTTTGCTTCTTATTTATATTTATGATATGCGTGTGTATTGGGGAATCGGTGTCTTGAAATGAAAATACAAAATGTAAGATATACGATAAGCTATATTTAGAAATTATTTCAGCGGTAATTC